GAAGATCATGTTAAGTGAGATTTTTCTACTCCGTCGCAGCATTCTGGTGCTGGCCAGATTGCATCAACTTTGACGGATAAGCTAGCTCTTATTGATTATATACTTCTTGTTAACAACTTGGTCCTGTTGTCAGGGTGATCAAGGTGAAGGGACCTTGTCCAGGATTTTTGTGCAACAATAGCCACAATTATTTACAGTATCAGGCCATTGACTTGTAGAATTCTAAGACTTTTCGTCGGTGCGGCTTTCTCCTCTTAGCATCCAAATACAATTCGTCAGACGAGGTCATCTCTTGACCAAGTACCTGATGAAAAGTTTTGGTATCGCTGCATCTACTCGCGACTTTTGAATTGCTTATTTTCCGTTTTATAAGCAGATTTTCGAGACTACCAGTAGATCATACATTTGAAATGTATTCGCTCTATTTCTTTTAGGGTAACATCACTCTCCTTATAAATCTAAACGAAATGGGGTGAATACATTTCTAAGCTGTTTATTTTTACCTATTCCAGATGTTTACCCTTTTAAGCGGATTTAGTGAGACCTAGTCACACTTACCGCTGGTTCTCTCATCCCCTCCATTGTGCTGGTAATGTTTCCTCCTTGCCCTGTAGGATCCTTCGCCCATCTCTGGTTTAATAATTTCACTCGACCATTTCCACAATGGCTGTATTTCCCAAAATCTTCCTCATGTGCTTGATAAAACGTATACTCTCTCTTCACTGAGTAGGCCCCCAAATGCGGGTTTCGAAGAATTTCCTGAGATTGGATTGATGTGAAGACTTTCATTTCGTATGGAAGTACATGATCAAGAGATTCGTAGGTCAATCTCACCAGAATACGTCGGATGATTCACGTTGTACTGCAGCCGTTTACCTTTCCTCCTCACCTAGACTAGATTACAGTTGAAGTGGATACATCGCCTCACTGCCAAGAATAGCGGTTCTCTACCGTTTACAACGGCATCAAATTCGTTCAATTATATAATCCAATATTAATCGCTATTTTTTATGCGCATTTGAAAACAAGTGAGATAGCAAGGTAAAGATATAATTCGAATCGAAATTTAGTCTTCTTTTTGTATTATTCCCTTTATCATCATTATTTATTTACCTTCTCTTATTATTTTTTCTTTCAATTCTCTCCGTGCGCAAATACACCTTACATTTCATCCACCAAGATATTCGGCCCTGTTATGCAGATACTGCCATTTAGGACAACTGAGGAGGTGTTGCAACGTGCCAACGCATCCAAGTATGGGCTCGCGGCTGCGGTGTTTACGCGTGATCTGGATAAAGCGATGCATACAGTGCGTCGACTGCGCGCTGGAACCGTTTGGTAGGTTTTGTCTGAGCTCGACATTTAAATTCCTGTTGTAGCCTCCATGTTGCTTGGAACGTCAGGTGGATGGGATTCGTAAATATGCCCCACCGGAATTCGAATGGGGGAGCATTTATAATTGTGACTTTAGACTATTCCGCGACCTAGATGGATCCGTGATGGACTTTCGTCTGGCCCACCCTGATTTACGAAAGTTCACCAAACAGGAATATAATAAAGGCTGTTGGATACAGGCCTACTTAATTCTTGCTAATAGCCTAACTTTATCCACTTAATGCGATATCTCTTGATTTGGCTGACTTTTATAGCAATAATAAGTATAATCACCTTAGTTAGTGAGTTTTTCCACAATCTTACAAGAAGGTCTTAGGCTGCTATCAAATTTCATTTGATCAAGGCTGGACTGGACTTAGTTTCGACCATGCATGCGTTTTCTCATCACCCCTGATGGGAATCGAACCCGGTCAGTTACCACTAAGCCACACTGTCAAGACTTGCTAAGCCTCTTTCATATCACATTTTGCAGTGGGGTTGTCGATGAAACAAACTGCTGTTTGCTAAAACAATCAGCTACACCAATTTTATTTTGAATTAGTAAGTTTCGAAACGACTTATATAACATGAAAAACAACTGTTAGGGGTTCGGATAAAAGCAAGACGAAATCAAAACTGCAGTCAAGACTGGACGAGAATACCATTTTTGCGAAGCAAGGCTATTTGGCTTTCAAAGGAAACGTTAAGCCCACTCATATAATTATGATGAAATTTAACTTATATTCCTCCATCATCACAGCTATCACAAAATGGGGAAGTAGACAACTCTTCATCTGCTAATGTACTGCCAGCTCTTGAAAGATAGGCGAATTACTGATATGGAACTTCAGGACCATGCATAATTAAAGACTAACACTTTCCTTGGTCATACCTTCTTTTAGGCAATCTTTAGACCCTCTTTGTAGATCACGTTGCTATATGTTTTGCGCTTAAGTAATAGTGATTATGCCGACTCATAAGAGTTTATGAGAATACAAAACCACTTGCAAAAGTTTATGTATTCCGAAATCAGAGGTAGCTGAACATATGGTCACTAAAGGACACCAGATAGGGTGGTCTAAAATCCAACTTTTTGCCGGATATGCGGACTTTACGGCTGAACGGAAGCTTAGGAAGTCGATTTAAATAAAAACAATGAATATGGTGAATAAAAGGAAATAGTGTGGGAAATTAAGCAATAACTATTTATGGTTGCTGAATAGAATAAATTAGACAGAGAAAGCAGGAGCCACCGAGTAAGAGAAGAAAACTTAATTAAGGGGGAAGATACATTTTTTTCGTTTGTAAGTTGGTCTTCGAGACTACCAGTAAATCAGATATATGAGGTAAGTTCGCACTATTTCGTTTACATTTCTTTAGTCACAACTGCAGCGGCTTTACTTTTCTGTGAGTATGCATGGAGTAGTCAGTTGTCGCATTAAGTGAAAAAAGTCAAATTAGAAAGAAATTGGTAGGGTTGCAGCCGGCCACATTCCATATCTTCTTTCCTTGTGAGAGAAAGTATGGATTGAGACTCAAAAATAATATCTGTCACGATAGGATAGATGAAAGTTCAGCACGGATTCTTTGGGGTCGCCTGAATCAATTAAATCCTTGATAGTATATATTAGCTCTTGGCAATTACGTCGGCCAAATGGGAAAATATTGGGAAGATCGTCATTTTGAGACATTTATCGATACCTATTGGCTGTGGCCTTAGAAATTTCGTTGATTTTATCTTTTTATGGTGCTTTTTTCTTGCGCTAAAATCTAAGAATAATCTATATCGATAAATCTGGATTTTTTGTTGAACAAGCGTCAAAATTAATAGATTCTTTTGAGGAAAATCACCTAATTTTACAAATATGTGGACATTGAATACAACAAAGTGAATGAGGGGAGCCATAAAATAGGACCATCATATAGGTTGATTTATTATATATTAATCTGTCTGAGAACGTTACATGTCGAAATTTTGTTCTTAATCGTTGCTCTTGTGCTACCTTGATTTCATTAGATTTTCCTTTTTCGTTTCCTGCTTGCATAGACATATATAGTCTTTACGAGTAATAACAAGACTAATTTAGCATTGCTGCAGCACGGATAATTGTCTATGATCAGTTTATGACTTGACTGGATTTCTCTGTGGACCTTTGCTATTCTTCAGATGGCCTTTCGTTCGGACTGGACTGTAGTTTTCACCTCTTTGTGAGTCTTAGAACTTTTCCCAGGTTGTTGGAAAGACATCACAAGTAAGGCTCATTTATTTACTCAGACCTATAGAAGAGGGCTAACATTAAGTGAAACTAATATTTCGCTTTCTTTTGTGACATTAGAGCTTTTGACAATTTAGACAGTTTGGACTCCACATTCTGTTCCGGGAGACAATCTAGCTTTGGGACGAATAAAGTATCTGGCACGCCAATCGACAAATAATGGGCTTGCATTCTTGTAGCGAGATATGGTATTTTGGACATTACCATTACAACTTAAAGATCGCCTATATTTACTATTGGCCACTTGGACCTATTTGTCTCATTTTTTGCTTAACAGGGTCAACTGCTACGATACCTTTGACGCCTCTATTCCTTTTGGTGGATACAAATGTTCAGGTTTTGGTCGCGAGTTGGGCGAGTATGGGCTAAGCAACTATACCGAGATAAAATCGGTAAGTTTGTTTCACAAGTAACCTTATTACTGCAGTGCTTTTTGTCTTGCTAACTAAATATTGCATAGAACCGAAATCTGGCTTTTAAAAAAGCATTATTCTCTTAGTATACTCGAATCACTGAAGACCAAAATGATATGACCTTTTAGCATGGCCGCGATCTCCTTTTGTTGTATAGAAGTTATTTTCACAGTGTTTTTGCAACTTGGTCATATTGATAAGAATATTTAGAGGAATGCACCTTGTCCAGATTCCATTATGTGTATGATAACTTCCATAGCAAAAAGTGTATGTCTGGCCTACTGTGAACTGAGCCGAAAATTGCGACCGTTACTAAGACAAAGAAATATCAAGATTATAACTATGAAAAGACAACATTTCACCAGCCTGTCGACACAATACGAGAAGGTCGAGAAATTGGATTGCTCGAGAGTTTATCGCATCAAATGCGACAATGTGAGCAGAATTATATTGGAGAAACTGGACATAAAATTAGTCTACGAATCAAGGAAAACCAAAGACACTGAAGAAACATGAATACGGAAAGATCCGAAATAGTGGAACACATTGCATGGGCGGGACACGAAATCGACAAAATACGAGAATATGCAGGATCCGAAAAGCCATCGATATCCTGACCAAAATTAATTTGATGAACAGGAGACCTGTAGAAGACAGGATTAACTAAAACTTTACATATTGCTAAGCAAACTCGCAGAAAATTATGAAACAGCACAATCAGCAAAAGAAGACGACTGGATCAAGGCATTTTTAAAAATTATAATAAAAGAATTTGCAAGGAGACCAGAGAGGAATAATCAGAAGCCAAGAGGAAACGTCTACAGTGAGCCTTATCAAAATAAGTAGAGCCACATCATTTAGGGGTTGGCATCCAAGTGATTAGGGAACAGGAAATTATAGACTTGATATTATTAATAGAAGCTCGATAGATGTGGTGGAGACTAGAGCTAGAGGGCTAACAGTAGACATGTTTGGTCATAGGCATGGTACGTGAAGTAAATGATTGACCATAATAATTATCCGTAGCACATGTGGAATGCTGATAGACTCAAATGGTCGCCCAACCAGATTTTGGGTGCATACTCAGTAAGGCAGGACTGTACGTGCCATCCAATTCCTAGAACAGAGTACGGGAAATAACCCCTCGAGTAGCACAGTAGTCGAGAGAAATCCCCGAGTCAGGAATATAAGAGACGTATCCTACTGGGCAAGAGGGAGACTATGATAGGACCTAAGGGAAGAGGATTGCGGACTAAAGGGGCAGATTCAGATCGACATTTTTCGGTTATAAACAGAGTTTCGAGACCAACATTGTCAGTGGAGAGTTGAATAGGTCTCATTAAATCTATTCTAAAGGCACACCATACCACATGTAAATAAGTCATTAAGAAGTTATACTAGTGAAGAAGTGATATGAGGATATAGGACAGGTGAATAGTCCAGAACAGGAGAGGTACCACAACTTTAGCAGGCAATTGGTCGAAGGATCGGCTTCACTTCACTCTTTGACG